GGTGGTGGTAGTCCGGTGTCCCCAGCGGCCCTGACCTCCGCCCTTATTCCCCTGCGAACTTCGTCCTTGAGTGTGTTCAGATCTCTTGTCATATATCTGATCACTTCCTCCAGCGCATACATCGTGCTCGCCGGTGGAGTAGATCCGCGCGGCGTCGTCCTATTGTGGGCCATCGCCTCTGTGCGTTCCGGAGAGCCTGGTCGTATGCTCCCCTGCTCCTCCTCGCCACCGGCGGATTTCCTCATCGCTTTGGCGGGATTCCCGTTTTCCTTCGCCTTGCAGGTAGCTCTTTTTCCAGTTCCTCAACTTTCTCCTGGAGTTATTGCTTCTCACTCAGCACCCGTTGTAATTCCTTCTCCAGGGCTTCCTCCCTGGCCGTAGAGCGGTTTCTCTTCGTTAGCTCCAAGTGGCTGGCTCGGCATTTCCCAGCCGCGTCCCGTAGGAGTCTTTGATGAGTTCCTTTTAGGTTGCCCGACGTTGCGGCCACCTTTTCAACCGTCCTCATGGTTTCCATTACAATAACGGTCAGATTGGCCGATTGCAGCACTCTCATCTCCTCCGCCCTTTCCTCATCTGTCGCCCCTCTTGACGGGCGGGGGCCACCGTTGTGGGATCGAGGAGATAAAAGAGATATTCTTCCTCGTCATTCTCGTTCCGTCCGCACCATCTCGCATCACGCTCTTCCTCCAGCTCTTCTCGGGGAACACTTTTTTTCCGTGTCGCCCTGGTGCTCGCAGACTCCTCTGAGACCTCAGGTCTCTCTCTCTTCAGTCCTTTTCTCCTTGACGACCGTTTTCGTTGGGGAGTGGCCTCATCGGTATCCGATGACTTCGGACTAATATTCATATTCATGAGGGTGTCCTGCGTCTCACTCTGTCCTTGTCTCGGTCCAGTCGCACTAGTAGTGGGACAGGCCTGGGCAGCCACCTGTTCGCACTCTCGGTTTTCCGATAACGATGTGGAGGGGGCCTGCTCTACCACCCCCTCCCCATCGGGCCTGGAGTCTCCGAACCCTCCTGCGCTGGTAATTTTGACTTCTTTATGTTTCTTATTCATCATTTTTGTTTCCTTATATTGTTTCATCCCAGTCGTCCTCAGTATGTCAGGCCTGGGATCCAGGCACACCGTTTTCTTGCAGTTGTTCGATGACGACGAGGCCGAACCTTGCTCGTTCGCTCCGACCACGCCGGGACTGGGGACTCCGAATTTCTCTGTATCTGTAACTTCTATTTTTATTTTACTTTCCATCATCATAATTGTAATTGTGACTCCTTCTTCTCGACCACTCACTCTTTCGCACCCTATTTCAAGAGGCCGAAGCCTACTTGTCACAGGGCTCCAGGGAGCACCACGGGGAGGCGAGGCGAGTGGACCATTTGGTCGGTGCAAGTCCTCAACTTCGCTGAAGAGACACCGCCTACAAAGTAGGCCTTACGTGAATCATCAGCTAACATCGAGGTTTTTGATCCTATTCAGGTTACCCTGAGGTCGAAAAAACCTGCACCAACCTTAGCTCCCCGTGCTGTGTAACAACACTATCTTTGAGACTCTTCAATACTAGGGGCCACCAGACATTGTCAAAGGTGCCCGAGATGTCGAAGAGCAGCGCCACCACGTATCGATGCTCGGAAGCATCAATTTTCGCGTCGTAGCTTCACGATCCTCAGTCGACATTCCGGGTGTGAATCCGAACTGTCGAGCGAAGATCCGTCCCGATGCTAGTGACGTCTGGCTTAAATCGGTTATATTTAAGTGACCTAAGCACTGATGCCATCTCATAGTATTATCATCTTCATGGTTCACACACATTACGCGCCGTTTATTCTTTATTTACTTTATATAATTTACTTTATATAATTGTCCATAATTTATTGCTGTCAATATAACTGAACGTTTTTCACATCAGTTGTTGCGGATCTATTTTTATTTACACAGACATTTTATTCTACTGTTCCTTTACCACATGCTTCTATAGAATAGTCTACAGCCATATAAACATTTGTTGGCTTCATTTGCTTTAATATGGAAAATTCGTTTTTCGAGTTACACATATGTTCGCACCACTATTGAAATATCAATTGACTTGATTTTGCGAGTTCAGTATTGCAAGTGATTATTGCTATCAGCGCCGAACGGGGATTATTACGATTTATTTTAGAATGGCAATTACGATTTATATGGCTCGATTTGCCACACTCAAAACAGTTTTTGTTATACCTTTGATTATTTTGTGTACCATTTCTTTCCTTGGCATACGTACGTGTTGTACGATTGTATTTCAATTTATTGTTTTTCGTAACGAGAGCTTTGTCATTTTGGCGTGATTTGGCCATTCGATCGTTCTGTTTTGCTTCTTGTTCTTTTAACTTCGTTGTTAAGTGATGAGAGTAGTTCATCGCATGATTCGATCGCTAAGGTAAAACTCATATTCGGATGGTAAAGAAGGTAGCATCATTATCGACAGTAAGTCATCCGGCAGCTCTGCGCTTGGATTTGTTCGGCTTTATGTTCGTATTCATTCGCATATTGCGTCATGTTTTTATTCGATTGTTTTTGCATACTTTTTCATAAGGAGTCAACTCCTTGATAAGCGTCGTTTTTCTCATGGGATCTTTTGATTCAAACACATTTTTCTAGTTTCTCCCACGCCTCTTTTGATATATTAGTCCCTTTTACATACATGAGTTGACCTTGTGTTATATTTATATTAATTAATGCAAGTGCCTTTGCATCTTTCCTTGTCTATTCTACCTCGTTTTTTTCTGTTTATGCAAAAATTTCATTTTTCGTAGATTGAAATGATTACTTTTTGAGAAACAATATTTATGGAAATTTATGATTTTATGGAAAAAAAAAAAATGGAAGAATCATCTAAATGGAAAATCATTTCGCCAGTTGTCTTTCCTCTGATGCAGTCCATTTCGGTTTTGCAGTCCTTGATCTATTTTCTTTAAGTTCAATGTCCTTGACGTAAACCACTGGGTGCGACTGCTTGATGTGCAGGCCGGCGTATGTCTTGTTGGTACAAATTTCGCACTTGAAAGTGTTGTCGTCGCCCGGTGGGGACTGGTTACAACGCCGAATGTGTTATTTGCGTTGCGGAAGTGTTCGTGCAGTGAGGTCAATGAGGCAGAAAGGGCATGATCTGCACTCATCATTAAATCGTATATCGACGG